TTTTCTTGTCCTCCCCCTCTTACGCTGACACTCCTATGGAGGCGGAGGCTCGGGCCATCTTGATGGCTGTCATGATAGCTCACTCTCTTAGCTGTCATTTTATTGTCTTTGAATGTGATAATTGCATCTTGGTTGACATCTTTGCCAATGGTGCCGAGGCCCCTTGGGATATCCTCTTGTATATTAATAATCACATCTTGGTTGACATCTTTTTCAATGGTGCCGAGGCCCCTTGGGATATCCTCTAGTATATTAAGAGGATTAAAGGCTTAATCTTTAATATGAATGTGATATGGAGTTTCAATTATCGGAAGGGAAATCAACCCGCAAATTGGCTTGCTATTTTAGGTAGCGCCACTAGTAACTGTTGGGTGGGATCTAATCCCCCCTACTCCTTTAAACACTTTGCTGGTTGGTGACAAGATTGATGCCCCATATGTTCGTTGGAATGTCTCCTCTTAGCTTGTTATTATTTGTTTGGTGGTATGGTTTGGCCTTGGATTTCATTGGGACTCTCTTTATATTTCCTTTCCTACTTAGGGCTCGATTGGCTCTCGGTTGGGGCGGTGGTTGCCACTCACCTTATATTTATGGCAGTACCTACTTTTAGTTTTGTGGTACTTTCTTTGGGTGCCAGCTTTTGCACCTGAGTTTACAGGTTTTATTGTCTTCATTAACTCAATCTTTACTTTCACGGGCCCTCTTTCTTTCCTTTGTCATTATTACTGCAGGTTTTCTTTCGTGGACTCAGACGCTTGTGATATTGTTGCCGCCTGGAGATCTTCACTTGGTCTTTGTGTTCTTTCTTATTTTTTTGGTGTTCATCTTTTGTGGGGTATACGATTACTTTGGTATACTGAATTTAGTATTTTTTTGGGTACACTTTTTTCCTTTTTATCCTTTTGGTGTGGATTTGTAACGTGGATAAAGGAACTCTTATAATTTTTAGTTTGTTTTTAGACGGGGATCCTTATTCCCTCCCTCTTTTTGTACTTTTAATTTATATTAATACGTAGGGAGCCACGAGATGCTTTTTCCTTTAATATATATATTATAAAAATATAAAATACTCAAAATTTTAATACTTTTAGACGACGAAAATGGTCTCGCCCGAAAATAAGGGGCAACTGAGATGCCATCAACAAATTCCCATCATTCAACACGTATCTCGAGGCATGACACAGATCTCAAGATAATCTTTTGAGCAAGAACTATTCAAATCTTGATAAGAAGTCATCCAAAGCTCTGATTTTAGCAAATTTATAATCAAACTAACCGACTCGATGAGGCGAACCCAATGATATCAAAAATAGTCAAATCCGAGTCAATCAAGCTCAGATCATGTCATTACACCACACTTGAAAGTTTTTCAGACATATTTAGAATGACAAATTAATGCCAAATCTAGCAAGCCTATAGTCGAATCGAGCATCTCGACAAGTCGAATCTCCCGAGCCCAAGATTGCTCAATTTCGACATCGTTAAGGCACTCAAATGTCGATCAAACGTCGTTTGATCGAATGAAGCTCTCTGGACCGTCTGATTAAAGTGATTCATATTCCTGCATTAATTGCACCTAAAACACTATAAATAAAGTCCCATCTCTCATGAAGGGGAGTAGAGTTTGAGGCTTGAGAAAGAACTTGAAGTTTTGAGAAAGAGCTGAAGTGCAGCACCACTCCTGCCACCGCTGATTGTCGCCGACCGCCATTGACTACCGCTAACCACCATCGATCACTGCTGACCTCGGTCGACCACTGTCAACCGCCGTCGAACACCACCTGCCGACCTCCACTGATCGCCATTGCCGACCTCCACTGATCGCCATTGGCGGCCGCTCACTTTATACAACGAGATCATTCACACGTTGACGTTATAATTTGGAAAACTTTGTAACGCTAAGACAGTAATCCATTTCTCTACCGCCGCAAATTTTCTAGCACGCAGCACTAAAGTATAAGTTTTTCAAGTTATTATTTCTTAAACCTTAGAAAGATGGTAGTTTACACATGTTTATAGATAATTGGCAATTAATAAATTTATCATCAACTATAAGTTTCTGCATTTCAAATGGATGATGTCAGATATTTTTATGGTGTTCTATCAATTTTAAAATTGATTTAAGTAGCTGTTATCAATAAACGAGAATGAGAGAGAGTGGTGATTGAAAAACTATTTTAAAAATCAAAAGTAAACTATATGAGTGTTTGGCATTGCCTTCTGGATTTGATTGATTATTCAATACTTTTGTGAGAGTTATTATCCATTTCATATACCACTCATTAAAAAGTTTCTTGTTGTTGAATTGGATGTTATTTTGATCCATAACAAGAAAAGAGAGGTTTTGGTGCATCTTAAGAAAGTTTTTGAAATTATATAAGTCAATAATTTATTTTCGACTTTGAAGAAATTTTTTGACATCTATTAGTCTTTCAAAGAGGCCGATCGACTGTTGGTCGTCTTGATAAAGTTAAGGATATTAATAATTAGTCAACCTAGCTAACATTCTTCAGATTATAAGTTTGGGTGGTTTTGTGATTTTTGAGTGATTATTAACGGATTTGATACTATGATTTCATTAATTTCAAGTGTTTCAAGAAAAGGAGAATTCGTTTGAGAAAAATATTTATTATGTTTGTAGTTTAGTTAAAGAGAGGCGTATAAATGTACCTATGTTTAGATTGCCTAATTTTAATCAAGTGTTTATTCTGATGTATTTGGTTTAGTTTTTGGTTGAGATTTAAATCAAGGACATATGATTGCTTTTTCAGTGAGAATTTAATGGTCTTTTTGTTATGATAGTTTGTAGTTCTTTTGTTAATATACGCATTATTAGTTGAACAAAGATTGTTTTTTAAGTTTGATCATGAAGCTTTGAAATATGTAAGTTCTCAAAAGAAATTAGGAGAAAAATGTAAATTGGGTTAGGTTTTTGTAGGAGCATGCTTTTATCCTTAAGCACTATACCAGAGTTGAAAATAAATTTGCTTATGCTTTTAGTCGAGTTCCTCTTTTTTATTTATTTTAAATAAAAGTTAAGATGATTGATTTTGATAATATAAAAAATGTATTTATCATATGTAGGTAACTTAGATTTATTAGGACCTAAATAATAAACCATTGGTGCTTTAAAAAGAGTTCTTGATTAGTGATGATTTTTTATTCAAGTAAACACAACTTTTTATTCCAAATTCATATTTGAAGGACTTTAAATCTTAGATATGCATGTTTGTGTGTTGCAAGGCATCTCAGTTGGAATACGACAATAGCCGCCAGTAAAAGTAGGCATATTGTTGGGTGGATAGAAAAGAGATGCAACATGCATAGTTTCCTAGTGTTGAATGCCATTCAAGTAAGGCGAAAAGATACAATATTTGCCTCTACACTTTTGTCTATTTCATTTAATCCTTTTAAGGAGGCTCGTATGATACTAGGCAACTAGCCACCACTTAAAATTATGCAACACATTGGGACATGCTCATAAATCAAAAATTTCTTCGATTTATGATATTTGGCAGTCTTTATTTCAATAACCCAGTCAGTGTGTGTCATTACGTGAGTTAATGATTAGACATACTTATATTGATACCGCAGTGTAAATAATGCTCTTTGAGGATAACCTGGTGTATCGTATATTTTACCTATATTCATAATAATATTGTTCTTAGAAGTTTATGTATTTTGTAAACACATCAAGAAAGTGATAACATGAACTATGAAGTAAATAGGTAGAACTTGGTAGCTCCATGGGCAAATTTTTATGTCTGTGATTTATCTCCGTTATTTAATGTATACATCTTACAATTATCAATTTTTTTATGCTTACAAATGTCATGCTGGCGTGGGAGCATAATTTTAAGGATGTATATTGGTAAATAACATTTTGATTCAATCATTATTTGAAAATTTGGCATGCTGCTAAATTTATGGAGATAGATGAACTGACTTGATGCCATTTTAAAAACGGGCCTTTGATTTATTCGCCTTCCTCCTTGAATTTGGTTTTCACATCAAATAGGAGATAACTTTATGTAAGAGTCTCCAATGCATGCAATTTCAAAGGGAGATAGCGATCAAATAGAGGGATCATTTTGAAAATCAGACACCATGAATCTTATAAGAAGTAAATGGGTAGGAGAGAGAAACTAGTGGCAGGGAAGTTTGGAGAAGAGAAAGAATAAAAGAAGAAATCTTTTAAGCCTTATTCTTCTTTCAATTATAATCAAGATTTTAATTTCTATTTATATGGTTCCAAGGTAAAATAAAATTAATTTGAATTCAAATATATGTAACTCATAAAAAAAATCCTATTATCTATTTTAAATAAGATGATCCTAACATTAAATAAAATGAAATTGAAATAAAATCTTGGGAAATATCAGATGCTAGAATATTCCAGAAATAATCTTCTTTTATTGCATAGCAACCCTTGCCCTACATGATCACAATCACGTTAAGTTATAATCTGTAATTTAGGGTTTGATATCCTAGCAAGGCTTCATTATTTTGTACCATGATCGGATTAGGTCATGGCGCACCGCTTCAATGGAGCGTCCTAACCTTGGGAATATTGACATTTAATTTTTTTTGTTAGTTTTGGAAAGAAGCATTACAACCCACTATTAGCCTAACATCAATCACGAACCTTTCTGATGCAGCTAGGTCTGACTATGGCATTATTAGAGTTTGCAAAAATGAGTAGAATGTAAATGTTAATGTTTATGCTAAATCCACGTTACTTCGTTTTGCTGATATCTTTGTATGCAGGCAAAGTGTTTCCAATAGATGAAGCAAATGCAGATCAAGTTTCCCCCTTTCCACGCTCTTTTCCATTATATTTTCAATATTGTGAAAATTTACGTTGTTTCTTCTTCTTGTACTAATTTGGTCTGGTCTGTTTTTCCATTCTGTTGTGTTTCTTTTCAAAATAATAATAATGGTCTTGCATATTAGTTTAGTGTATCTCCTCTGACACATATCTAATGTCATTAAAACTACAGGCTGCTTATGAACAATGGTTGAAATCCTTTTTGATGTATCCACTGCCTTTAGTAAGGAGGGCTAAACAATGCTGGTGTTCAATTAGAAGTTGGATGGCTGTTAATTTTCCTGAAGCTAATGATACCTTGAGGAGGGGCGCTACGGAAGCTGAGATAAAAAAGGCCGAAGAAAAGCTTGGGGCAAAGTTTCCTCTCTCAACAAGAATTTTGTACCGTTTCTGTGATGGTCAGGATACAGAGGGGTTTGATAGATCGCAGTGCAGGCATTTAGCTCCCCTGGGTATTATAGGGGGTTATGAATTTTATAATCACTTAGTTAATGTGCACTTACTATCTTTATCCCAAATTGTTAAAAAAACAAAAGAATTTGTACAAATGATGGGGTTTAAAAGCAAAAATATTGTAGTGGCAATGTCCAACTACCTGGACAAGCGGTTTCTTCTTAATTTTAGCAGCGGTCAACTCTATGTTGGGACTAGAGATATGTTAAGTGCAGGCGAATTGATGCTTTGTGTACCTTCGGAGCTACTTAAGCCAGAATCTGATGCCACAAACGGTTTACCACAGGGTGCGCTGATGTTGTGGTTGGAGGAGCATAGCAGACTCCTTCATAATGGTATAATTCAAACTCGAATGCTCAGAAAAGCCCGAACAATCAGTTTATTTCCTGAAGCAGTGTCTGGTACTCCTATGGTGAGAAGATCAGAAGCAATCAGCTTATATCCAAGTTCTCTTACTACATATTCAACTGCTGTAACTAATGGTGTTCAGGTAATGGAATCTCCAAGGCCCACGCCAATAATGCTTGCAATTTGTTTTTGTTATCTAGTTTGATATTTTTTTTATCGCTCCACCTGTATGCGTGTTTAATATTTAATATAACTGATTCTTCCGCAAGGAAAAGAAGTAATGCATATGCAGTCATGCTCTTGGAGATTAATTTCAAATCGGGAGGCACTGGTAAGGAGAGGAAAAACACTCTTAGGCCAGTTTATGCTTACAAAGTAAACCTGTATTGTAATCTTTATGCATTTAAAAAAATTTCAACCTTTTTCATGCAACTTATTGAAGATCCTGCATTCTAACTATTGCTTTATCTTGTTGATTGCTTCTGAAACGTGAAAATTGTTTGGGAATAGTTCTAAACTATTATGATCATTATAAAGTGATTGCAGCTAACATAGTCAAATTCTATTGAATGTCCTGTCAAATAACAGCAGCTGGTGCGTATAGCATGTCAATGTGCATCTCAGTAAACTATACATATTATCTATTTCATCAAGATGGATTAGGGAGAAATTTCATTTTTTGCATAGTCAAGTACTCAGAATGTCTAATGGTTTTTTTTTAAAAAATATTTTTTTCCCTTTTTTTTCTCTTTTTTTGAAAAGCCTGGCACCCCTTCTCATTATGCGAAAAAATACAATTAAAAGGTTATAGAATTAAAAATAAATTGAACTAAACAATTGGAATTACAAAATAATGGAATAAACCAATTCTCATTTTTTTTTCTTACATACACTATGGATGGGACTGCCATTTATTCCTATTGATGTACTGTGTATAATAAAGACCTACTTTTTGACATTTTTCTTTTCATATTTTTCTAATGTATTGTGATGTATTGAATTTTAGTCTTCAAAATTCAAATTGAATTTAACACTTTAGCCATGACGACTTCAGATAAGAGCTTCTGCGGTTTTTGTGCCTGAACTATCTATTCTTAATGGAGAGAGGATGGAGTACTGTTATTCCTACTCAATCCGCATGTCTCTAATTCCTGAGGAATGCTTTTTGAATGGTGTATACTATTCTACTTGCCAACTTTCTTGCCGGCATTGGATCATTAGGTCGAACGACAACATCGTAGATGAAGTATCTGGAGAAGCCGTGATAGGCTTGGTTAGTCTCACTGTAACTCTCTTTTTGTTTCACAAATCTCTTAGCATTCACTAATCTATTATATTCTAAAATATCTGTCAGAATGTCCTGTTACATTTTGTACAGGTGGGATTAATTTTCTAATACATATTCTTAATTTCACGCATCACGTGTTATCTCTCAATATAATTAAATTATTGGATGATAAAGTTGATTCTGGAAGTTAAATACAATTTACTTAACAGACATTCATGTTTATGACACAACTAAATTAATTGTCCAATGGTTATTTGCATTTTTTTAAAAAATTTAGTTGTATGTTATCTTAGGTTGGTTTGAGGGATATACATGAAACTTAACCTAAAATCATTGATGCGTGCAGTATTAGTTTCATTTTAATTAAAAATGTATTAAGATATCTTGACACACACACACACACACACACACACACACACATATATTCTATTTAAGCAGACACTCTTATTTTATATGTAATTCTTGTGGATGCAGTATCCTCATTTGAGGCCAAATCAAAATGAGTTTGTGTATGAAAGCTGCACTCCTCTGCCTTATGCTTCTGGGTCTATTGAAGGTTCTTTTACCTTTGTTCCTGGAAGGTATTCACATGCAAAAGAAAACTTATCTATATCCGATGAAAAGTATTATGACCGTTGTTTTGTCTATTTTCCTTTAGGTGTTATGGATTAATGTCTTATCTCATTGATACTTTTTTTTTTCTTTTTTTTTAACTGTAGTTTGGCTCATCCGGAAGGCCCACCTTTTGAGGTTAAAGTAGCACCGTTCAAGCTTGAAGTCCCTGAATACATTTTCTGATCAGAATTTTCCAGTTTTTCACATGATGTTCTTGGTATGCATTTTATGCAATGTCACAGACATTTTGTTATCTTACAACTCTGTTAAGGAGTGCTGGCAATGTCAAATAGTTTATATTAACTGCTGTTTGATGTGTGTGTTTTATGTTCACGAGTCGATTAACATTATATTGGGTTTATATGAGTCTCACCCAAATTTGAGCAGGGTAAATTTTATATAGTATTTGCTTTGAAATGGGTGGTTAATCAATCAAAGTTTTGTTGTGCATCAAGACAAAAATAGATGATTATAGAAGATTATGACTGACAGTTTTGTTGAAAAAATCCCGACGCTTTCTTTTTCTAGAATCTGATTCATGGTTTGGTTGAAGATCTTGTTTTTAAACCTGGTCTAGTGGCATGGGCAAGGGCGGAGCCAGAAAAGTATGTGGTGCTTAAATTAATTGACCTTCAAAATACCTTTAATTCTTTTCATCAAATTTATATAGAAGGATGTTACATGCCTTGATAATTTTAATAAAAAAAATTGCATAAATACAATATAGATTTTTATTTATTAATTTATGTTATAATGCTCAGAAAATTATTAATTTTTATTATTATACATTTATTACTTTATTTTTTAAAAATTAAAAATTAATTGAATATAATTAAAGTTCGTTTATGATCATTTAGTTGAATGGTTGAATAAGTATGAATAGTTTTTTAATGCTTGTTTAAAGCTTGCAAATAAGTTTGTTATGAGGTTTGATTAAAGTTTGATATTGTTGTTTATCTTACACCAAATTGAAAGACTCGGCTCTTAGGTAGTTTAATGGCCTTCGATAGGATTAATCACCTCTTTTTATGAATTTAAGAAGATATTTGCCAAGTAGATCCCATAAGCAAGAACTCATGGGCCTTGTGGCATCTGAAGAGCTAAATGAGAACCTTTGTTCGTATGTCATTGGCTTCCAGAAAGAAATGTTGGAGGTGCGGGATTTGGAACTGACTGTAGCTCAGGCCTCTTTAGCCCAGGGACTAAGGAGCTCACGATTCAATTACACTATAGGTTTGCAACAATCCAAGAATTTGGCCAAACTATTAGAATTAGGCCCCGTTTGGGGCAGCTTAAAAGTGCAGCGGCGTTTTTAAAAACGTCGTCTTAATGTTTGGTTTCCGCTTTTGACGAGCGTTTAAGAAAACGGGTTTTTTATTTTATGAAGCACGCGGATCGCGGGGATATACCCGTGATCCGCGTTCGGCCTCGAGATCTTTACGTCGCTACCCCTCGCACACATGCAAACATCCCGATCCCTAATCTTGTTCTCCAAAGTCGCTCCGCTCCGCTCCTGCCTCCTCTCCGCTCCTGCTTCCGCAGGTAAGAAATATCTTCTCCTCGCTCCACTCCTACCTCCTCTCCCCCATGTCGCAGAAACACATCTCGATCCATATGTTCTTTGTGGTTAATGTGGAAGTCTTTTGTGGGAGAAAACCTAGATCTAGTTCTTGGGAAGCAAGTTTCGCCGGTAAAAATGTAGATCCTTTGTTCGAAATGTCTGTTGTTTCTTCTCGATTCGACATTCCTATCCTTTCTTCGAAATGGCTGATGTTTCTTTTTTATTTACTGAAATTTTTTAGCTATTTAAAACAATTAATCTTTGCTGCATATGTTGAATCATAGAATAAAATGAATTTTTGAATGCTTAGAGCATTTTTTATTTATTCCTGAAAAGCTAATAAAAAATTTGGTTGCCATATTAGCTAGTGCAGGAATGATTTTGGGTTAGCATTTTTAAAACAGTCCATGTTCTGGCTATTTGGGTTGCCATATTAGCTAGCTGCCCCTATGAATTGTTGGTTGCCATTTTTAAAACTATCATGGTGTTATAAAACTGTCATGGAGTTAATGTAATGATATGTGCCTGTGGGTTGTCTTGGCTAGCATTGCTTTAGAATTTCTACTCAGCTCTATGCGTTCCAAATTTCAATTGGTTTTTACTCAAATACGGTTATACTATAATAATAAAGAAAAAGAGAGGTTTCATGTATAATGGTTATATTAAAAGCACATTTATGTTTCACCAATATATATTTGCATTCATTATGTTTCTTGAATTTTTTTAACATATGCATAGTCCATATCTTAAGTGGCTCATTTTCGGTTATAATGCCATCTAACCATCCGTTGATGTGACAGTAAAAGATGAGTAAATCTAAAGACTCTGGTTCATCGGCTATATGTGATAGAGAGAGTACTAATATTTTTAAAATTTGAGCACTAATGTACTGTTAAGCTTAATTATGAACAAAGCTGAATTTTTTGTAAAATGCTGACTCTGCGGTTTGTTTTATGGAATCATGAGTATCATAGAGGCAGGTGATGCTTATATTAGAGTTTATATTAGCAACTTTGAGCTATTTTATAATTAATGTGGATATATTGCTTCATGTTGGTTAATAACTTCACCTCTTATATGGTGGATAATGGTGGAGCAGTTTGGACGACCACGTAAATTTGTTGTTGCAATTGCTGTCTCCACACTTGGGTAAGTTTACTTTTTATATTTCCTCAATTTTTGGACTGATCTATTCAGGTTTTAATAACTGCAGAACGATCAGTTCCAGACATTCAGGGAAGTCCGAGAAAGTGATGTGTCGTTGCGGACTACCGTCCTTACTATTCACGTCACGCCAGACACATAGCTTCAGGAGGCAGTTTTACAGGTGCCCACGGTGGGCACAACGATAGGAGGACTGCAAATTCTTCAGGTGGGCCGACAAGGAGTATGTTTCTATGATATCCCAACTGGACACCAAATTAGACACAACTGCTAGGAGTTCGATAGTACCACAACGAGAGAACGCCACATGCGGTTCGAGTTCTTCAATTCGAGTTCTTCCGTATCTACTGCACCCCAGTCGAACGGGTTTGCTCGAGGTTTTGAGGTATCAGAAGCAGGCAACATTCGTCATGATATGATTTTACATTTTAAAGTCAATATGATCATATTTTTCCTTGTAATTTTAACATGTTATTTTTTCTTTTTTTTGGGTTTTATTATAATCCATATTAGTGTGTGAATGTGTAATAAACTTTCATATAGTCACTCATATTATTTGATGTAATCAAAATTTTTTTGAGTTATATAAATATTATTAAACTTTTTTGCATTTTCATTTTTCCACATTTGAGAAAATAACATTCTGCTACACAGATTATTCATTGAACTAAAAAAATTTCCCAAATAAGTTGTTTACAAAACACACTAACCAAACAGTTAAACAACTTAGGCAAAATGGTCAATTTTCCATAATCAGCTGTTTTCCAGACGCACTAACCAAACAGCCAGACAGCGTATCCGCAGACAGCTTATCCGAATCAGGATAAGCTGTTTATCAGCAGAAGCTGGATAAGCTGCAGCTGGCCCAATAAGACCCTAAATTTTTCGCCAACATATCTTGGTGGAGGAGTATGTCCACCTATCCTACCAAAAAGGTGAACCCCCACTCGCATAAGAGAGCCTCACGAGATGATGGGTGAAGGCCAAAAGATGGCCAACATCTATGGCGTGAAGAAAATAGGCCGCCTTGTGATGATAGATATGCTGATAGAAAGTACTAAAGAGGAGAACAAAGTTGGGCAAATGACTAATCTTCGGACGACCAAGAGGTACCAAAAGCCACTCATTTGAGGGTTTTGATGGCAGAGTTAGTGGAGTCTATACAAGACAAGAAGTACTTCAAAAAGGCTCCACCAATAAGAACAGATGCTTTCTCTATAACACTAATAGGTTCTATCAGTACCACAAGGACCATGATCATAACATAGACGAGTGCAGACATCTCCGGAGACTGGTTCAAAGTTCCTAAAGACACTCAAAGAGTTTGTTGCCCTAGGGGTATTAACTGAATGGCAGAGGAAAACTCCAACAGAAGAGGACCCTGATGACCCTATTCGAGCCAGTGTTATTCACATCACGGGTGTAGTGCCAGCCATCTTCGGAGGAGACTCGGTTTGATGAGTCGAGCATAAAAGGCTTCAGACGGTGGTCTTTGTGCCACCACTTTCACAGTGAAGCGGAAGCTTCATCCTCTGATTATTTTTATTAATGCAGAATTGCCCTTAAAGGAAACCCCTATAATAATGTCATCGTGGTCACGATGATGATAAACAACTACTAGTGGGTAGTATTCTGTTTGAGACAATGACAAGTCTAAAAAATGACTACTTTTTCATATATATTTTATACTCATTTATAATGATATTACACTTTAAATAAATGTATTTTACATGCTTTTGGTTCCAGGTAAAAGAAATGGACTTATGAAGAAAATGAAGCAAAAACGGTGCAATTTAAAGTCAAAACGAGCAAGGAAGAAAATTCTAACCTGGCAAATTTTGTTATCTTCTTATTTTTAATCTACTTTACATTTATCACATGTTTTTGAATGAAATTACTATTTAAAAAATGTTATTTTCATGTTTATTTTGTTGGTATAACAATTTGGAGCGAAATGGAACTGAAACAGGGTGAAACAATGCTGAAACGGACCAAAACGGGGTAAAACGGTGGAGTTGCTTGTAGGGTGGCGCCTGGGTGCCAGAAACCGTTAAGGGGCGGATTTCTGGCAATTTTGGGCCATTTTGGGATGATTTAGAAGATTCTAAACAACTTTCACGTCCCAAGGAGTTGTTCAATTAATCTAGACAATTGGAAAAGCTTTTGGATGAAGTGGTGTGTCTCTTGAAGTGAAGAGGAGTTTCTTTTGGAGTGAAGAGTTGTGTCTTATGGGAAAAGGAGGTGTTTTGTGACTCTTTAAAAAGTAGGGCTTGGTGCCTCTCATGAGGAGTCTAGAGGGGGATTTTTACGGAGATTTTTTGCATGAGAGTAGAGAGGAATGCTTGGAGATCTTAGAATAGAAGTAGAAATGTAGATTTTTATCTTTTTTGGAGAGATTAGAGTGGGGGTTTTGAGAGAAAATGTAAGGAATTGTACTGGCATTGCAAGGGTCAGCGAGAAACTTTGTTGAAGAGATCTTCATCTTTATTTCAAGAGGAAAAAACTAAGTATTATGTTCTTCATTATCTTATGATTTTGTAAATATTTATCCAGTGGATTTTCTTTGATGTAATGAAGTTTTCCGTTGTGTTTTCTTCGTGCTTTGTGAGTAGTTTTTCTTACTCTTTCTTCTTATTAGAAAATAGTG